ACCCATCGAAAAGATCGGCTTGCGCGCCAATCAAGATCTCCAGCTGCGTCAAGAAGATCCACGCACTCAGGCAATAAACTCATCCGTTTGACAAAACTGCATCAAATTATTGACGCACAACTCCCAGCGCTTCACGCGGAGCGATTCCGGCATCTATACGCCCGCTGAGGCGCGAACAAAACTTCTATTTTTTACAAAAAACGTGATATCAAGTAGTTAGACTAAGTGAAAATAATTCACGTGTTTCCCTACATGGATAGAATTATATAAAAGCAAATATGTTCATATATGAATATTTCACATAAAACATACATACTTTCATAAAACATAAATCCAAAGACATTAAAACATAATATTAGTTAAATTTCAATTTTCTACAAAAGGAATGTTAAAAGATAATTCACGTGTTTCCCTACATGGATAGAATTATATAAAAGCAAATATGTTCATATATGAATATTTCACATAAAACATACATACTTTCATAAAACATAAATCCAAAGACATTAAAACATAATATTATTTAAATTTCAATTTTCTACAAAAGAAATGTTAAAAGATAATTAGATCAAATGAAAGTGTCATTGCGTATATAACAGCTTTGTGTATATTTACATCACATGTGGTAACTATTGACTTCTTTTTATTGGTAATCATGTAAAAATTAAGATAAAATAAAATTAAAAGTCACACAAAAAACACTTGGCGTGTCCGAGTATATAAATAATTTAAATATATTTTCCAAATAGTATTTTGTATATCAATTTGTAAAATTCAAAGCAACTTATTGCGACAGACCTCTCATGGGGACTCTGGAATTACTAATCAGAATACATATTTTATACTATGGCCTTCTTTACCCTACGTTACTGAACAACTGAACCCAGTACCAGAGTAAGATGGCTATGTTGCTGCATGTTCGTATTTTGGTTATTACAAAATAAAATATATGGTTAACAGGGTCGTGGCGGACATTAATACACAGAAGAAGGTATCTTTATCATGTTTATACAATCAGTTACAACAATTAGTTGCCTGAGAAGTTGTGAAGTTCGAAAGTCTAAAATATTAGGCATCTAATCTGGAAACAATCTTTATGGAACAATCAATATTATGCGTTAAGTCACGAAATATCTTTATTTCCAATTTTTACAATGCACATCTCTCTGTCCTGTCCGTGGATGAGTCTGAACGAAAAGCAGCGAAAGAAGGAATGAGGACCGCGAAGGTAACAGCACGCGACGCGGCGACGATCGATGTGGTGCTTGCGACGGGAGTAGTTCAGTGTGTAATATCCGGTTATAAAGTAAAGGGTGGCCCACTCGCGCAGGATGGTTGGATGGATCAGGACGGGGATAGTTTGTCGGGCACGCGTGCGCCAAGTAATTATCGAGACTGCGAGTTTACGAGAGACGCGACGCAAACTGCGAGCCTCAAGTGCCGTCTACACAGCTCGGAAGGCATAAAACGCAGGCTGCGTACACGCAGAATACACACGACACACTCGCAGAGAGCTCGAACTTGAATCAATCAGTGTGCCTTGCGTGAACCGACATATTATTCTGCGTTCGCGTTTGCGATCTGCGTCTTGCGCTCTGCGAACTATGTAGACGGTGCTTTACGCGCGCGTTCCTCGACAAGACAGGAGATGCGCCACTGACACTGAAGTAATGAGTGCGGTGAATGTCGCGCAGTGCCAGCGGAGGTGCCTGACAAGCGATATAATTTAAACATCTTGGATACGTATGAGTATGATGTTTGGGACATGCGTTCGCGCGCATCGCCGCACAGTGGATCGAAGCATAGGAAAGCGGACATGGCGAAATATCACAGAAAATACTCAGTTTTTGGTAATTTTATCCTAATACTTTTCTAAAAAATGTCTTTCGCAAAATGACCTAAGGAATATATTTATCTAAAATAAAATATTAAATGTAAAAAAATCCAATTTAACTTTGAAACAACATTGAAAGGATAATTTCAAGATCACAATGATATTATTATCTTATATTTCTCTCAAAATCTTACAACTTTTATTTTAACTATAATTTATTCACTCTTAGTATTTATCAATTATTAAGATATAAGTATAGGCAACGCGTATTTTTTCGGTAAAAGAGGTATTTCAATTTTATTTTCACAAAAAGCTCTAACTCGACCAATTTCTTTTGGATTTCTAATTTAATAATTTATAATTAAATAATAATTTTTAATAAAATAATAACTTCTAATAAAATAATATTTATGCAGTCAGATCATCCTTCATTAAAAACAGATAAAACAAAATAATTATGCACACATAATAAAGAAGTGTATATCTTAGCAATTGAAATAATTGTAAAATGTCTAATAATTGTAAAATATCGTCATTAATTTTTACTCTGTCTTTATGTGAATATGTTCCTATTCTATATTTCTATTCTATATTTTCGAATTTTCTATTCTATATTTCTATTCTATATTTTCGAATTTTCTATTCTATATTTCTATTCTATATTTTCGAAATTCCTTGTTATGACACACGCACATACGCACGCACGCACATGCACACGCACGCGCACACACATGCATACACACATACATACACACACAACACGTACATATGCATAGCAGAGAAGATTTTGAGTCGTTAAATACTACGAGAGTGACGAATCGTGAAGTCCTTATCTTTGTTATGATACACACACAAACACACCAAATATACATACACACACGAGATATGCGAAATCCGACCGTGCAACCTCCTCGTGGTGTATGTTGGTTAATACTAATTTTGTTAATATTTATTGGCGGTAGCAAAGCGTTTTTAAAAATTCTTGTTTATTTGCAATATTGTAAAGTTGCAATATTGTAAAGTTATATTGTATACAACAATTATTTCAATTGCTAAGATATATACTTCTTTGTTATGTATGCATAATTATTTCGTTTCATCTGTTGTATTTTGTCCCCACAAGTGCGATGTTCTCTTTTTCCCATATTTCGATTCATTTCACAAGTACAAAATATGTAAATCTGCATTCACACATGTGTACATTTATGTACACACATACACACACACGGTAATATATACAACACAAACAATCAATGACTTAAAAAACATAAAAAATTGCGAAATCGTGTAGTGATACTTCTCGTAATTATCACGCCAAGGCATTTTTTCCCTATATTTTTCCTAAAATTCTCATGAACGGGCACCTACGGACAGCTGAAATCAATGAATTTGTGAAATAGAAGGTTTATTTAAACATGTAAAATAAACAGAACTTTGACATCTTGCAGCTATTTCTTTATATGAATACTTGAATTTGATGATCATATACGATATTTTTAGATATAGAAGCCGCTTTTTCTTCATACTAATGTTTACATGTTCCACATAAGCATTTTTTTCCTTGAAAATGTATATTATTAACACGTGAAAAATTGATAACCAAATATTTGAATATGGAAGAACTATACTGTCTTGAAGTTTTATGGATAAAATGATAGGACAAGAAATCCATCTGAGTTATAAGATTTTAAGCGATGTTTGACATAAATATTAAAGATATTTTTTGAAAAATCAGTCATTTCTAATTGCTTACAACTATTTATAATCTAAAATTGTTATTGTAAATTAACAATGAATATTACGGAAAAGTTTTTCTGGTCCATGTCCGCGCTATTGTTCGATCCACTATGCGCCGTTTCCGCGCAATCGACTCTGACATTGCACTCGGTAACGTGTTCTGCCATCGCAACCAAACCGCGGAACGTAGTTAGTCGTCACGATCCGCTACTTCCCAAGTAGAAACATCTCAGAGAAAAACTGATTATCGTAGCCAGTAACTAGACAGTTTTTACTGGTTAGGACTTGACAGAAAATACTAGCTACTTTTTCACGACCATTTACTAGTCAGAAACTAGGCTTGAAAAAATATATAAGTAAATACTAGACAGTTTCTATCCATTAAAAACTCTGAAAATACTGTTCAGTATTTTTGGTTTCCAGTTGTTTGTCAGAAACTATACAGAAAATGATAAGGAAATGCTGTGCATTTTCTGTCCAGCAAAAAATCGGAAATTACTGACGAAATTTTTTGAGATAGTTCCTGGCCAGAAATTAAATAGTAAAAATAATAAGTAAATGTTTTGTAGTTTCTAGACAGAAAAAACTTGCATAGTATTAGATAGGATTTTTGATCGTCGTCAGCCGAGCAGAAGTTGATTTGGCAAGGCAAAGATGACAAGAACAATAAATAATAAAATAAAATATATTAAAGATGAAAAAAAATTTTTTAAGTAAAAATGATAAAAATTTAATTTTAATAAAATTATTGTTTTGATACATATATAGTTAAATTATTTATAACTATTAATAAACTGGAAAAAAAATAGATACTGGTCAGAAACCAATAAAAAAATGCTGATAAAATAGTAAAAAACTACATAAAACTACTAAAATGCTGCTTAGAAACTGCTAATAAACAGGTTAGATACTGATCAAAATCTAATTAAAAACTTATCTAAAACTGTCTAATTCAACTGTCTAATTTTTCACGAAGTGAGCGTCGACCAAACCAGTCAATTTCTAGCCAAGAAAACTGGTTAAAAACTAGCTAGTTACTAAAAATTCCTGGACAGTTACTGATCAGAAACTGGATAAATTTCTACTCGGGTTGGAATAGTGGTGCGAACGAGCAAAAATAAAAGTCTGTCTAGTAATGCTGAGATATTTTGACGCAAGATTCTTCGCACTGGGACATCCAAAATGAAATTCTCAGTTTTATGAAACAGTAAAAAGAAGAAGAAGAGCAGAACGTCGAAAGTGCAATAGACGTACTCCACCCTCTTCTATTCTTTCTTTCTTTCTTTCTCTCTCTCTCTCTCCCTCTCTCTCTCTTTCTCATAAAGTATTTTTATTATTTAAGTCAAATATTACTTTGGACTCGCGAGCGAATTAATTGGCTCTTTTGCGAAATCTCTCTTTATTCTTGGAACGAGAACAATATTATGAGAATAATATTACAATATACACGATTCGTTGTTGCATTGAATGCAAGTCGCTCAAAATCCTTGATACGCTCGACTTCATGTACATGTGATTTGCATGAAAAAAAAAATTCAAGTCCAGAAAGCGGTGCGTTACGCGGGGTGCGCGCGAGGGAGTGTGATTTCCATGCAAAGGTCGTGTGGGGAAATGGCTCTCCGGGGGCAAAGAAAAGTGCCATTGCGTTCGTTTCACCCGGCACAATATTCCTATTGTTTAATTGCTAGAAAAAACATTGTTCACTATACAAGGCTGGCAGCGGTTTCATTTTTTTATTTTCTCTGTAGTCGTCCTGGCCGCGTTCCTTCTACTACTGTCCACTTGCTCCGTCTCTTCCCTCTTCCCCTCTGTCGTCCCGCTCCGTTCCTTTATGGACGTCCCCGTTGTGTGGTGGTGCGGGACAGTCTCCTCTCTGTGTGTTATGCCCGCTTTACTTCTGCTGGAACAATTCGGACAACACATCGAGCGGAGAACGTGAAGGCACATTCGCGGATCCATTTCCGATTACAGTAAACTTTCTCTCTCTCTTCCTCTCTCTCGGTCTCGCGTATCAAAAAGGGCCATCGAAACAAAAGACGCTTTCTCTCGTATGACATCACGACGATTCATGACATGAAGAAAAGCGGTGGTATCAATAAAATCAATGGACATACAATGGACAAGAAGATGATGGCAAATAAAAAAAAGAGATTACACTCGAATTGTTCTCATGTAAAGAGACGTCTCCGCAAAATCACTGTAGATAATACGACAGATAAATAATAGTACCAACAAATCCCTGGCGCAGACAGATATTCATAAGCATAATTAATCTTCCTAGCTCGTGCTGCAATTGTTATCAGGATGGCCGCACAGAAATGTACCGTTTAACAGCGGGCTATCGTTGTCCGCACCGAGACGCGCGAGTTGACTATTAATTACCGGGAAACGCGCGTTTCTCTAAGCGGCGACGTGATTGCGAGAGCATATCTAACCTGACCGTTTGCTTAAGGGGTTATAACTCGATGCACTGACCTTGGACGAACCTCCACCGAGATACAAGAGACCGATTGCACCTGCGTGCGCCAAAAGGGTGTCGACCGCCAACTGCGTCTCCAGCAGAATCCTGACCTCATTCATCCAGTCCCGAGAGACGCTTCTAGGTGCGCCCTTCAGTAAATTCATGTATCGCAGGACCATGCTGAAGTCCCCGCGATCCAACCAGTACCTGGAACAGACGAAGAAGAAAGGGAAAATGATACAAATTGCGAAAAGTAGTGTCTCAGATAGATCGCTACTTCGGTGTGTGTTATTGATCTGTTCCTTGAACGAGATATTTGGTATAATGCTCTGTCAGAATAAAAAGAAACGAAATTCTAATAAAAGAAAAAATTAAAAATGTTTACATTTTCCTTGACATAAATATCTTTTCCTAATTATTTTCCTATTTATTACTTTCTTTTTCAACCTGCGTAGAAAAATATTATTCTGGTAGGAACTCGCAGTTCTCAAACAATTACATTAACTTTTATTTGGTAATTTAAGAATGGAACTACTTGGAGCTCCGACCGAGTTATAACACTTTTTGCTGCATATAAAAAATGCGCAATATATGAATATATTTACTGAACGAAAACAGAACAAAAAATGGACAAAAAACTATTTAATGAATAATCAAGTCTGCTGCTTATAACATGAGCAGGTTTGTCTTAGTAGCATTTCATACTTTATGCATACTTTCTAATTGAAAAACTTTAATGCTAATGACGAGAGTCATAGCGCGCAGAAAATCTTTGGTGTGTAATATATATTTTCATGTTTTCCGCCTTTTACGTGACATCGTTCATAACCTTTAAATGTTATACGTCCTTTTATCCATTCTATTCTTATAGTTGTATTATTTTATTAGGTTCTGTTTCCGAGCTATCGTAACAATTTTCATTACCACCAGAATAGTTTCATGTGTTCTCATCGCAATAAAATTAAGCATTGACATATACCTCATTTGTTTTTTGCTTACTTTTATTTCTAATCTTTATTGTTATTTTGATCACAGATCATATTCTAAAATGCTTTGTTTCCTGTAATTTCCTTTTTCTTAGCTCTAAGCTTTTTTACACTTTTACTCACTATTCATATAATTTTAAGTTCTCTTTTAACAATATAAATAAAGATAATTTTAATTTATTCACAATAGACATTGCAATACGTGCATATTATAAAACTGAATAAATTTTATTGATACTATGTTTTCCAAAGAATCGATCCACGTATTATACAGTAAACTACTTTAACCATTAAACAAAACTTTATCAAGTCCTTATCCAGTTTTTAGAAAGCATTTATATAATTAATGCATTAATATTATAAACAATAACTGAAATGTCTACGCAAACTGCATACATTTCTACCAAAGTAAGATAAAGTAGGTTAATGAAAAGTAAATACTTGTAAAATATTTCATATTCTATTTTTACTTTGACACACACATATTCTGATATAAAAATTATGAATATTTCATAAAGTATCTGTTTTCTGTTGATCTTAATATTTTTACGCAAAGAATGACTTAAAAATAAATAAGAAAAGTAATGATAAAAATAAATAACTAAGCGAGCTGGGTAGTTGCGGATTTCTTACTCAAATTATTCGTACTGAAATAATTTGAATAATACCAAAGCGTGTGTAACATCTCATAAACTTGGATATATATAATAACATCGAAATATCATTAATGTAGCATAATAGGCTTTATCAAGAGCCGCAAGAACTTTGGACGCGGATTTCTATTTGCTCATTTTCTACGCAACGCACAATCGCATGATTAAATGTCCGGCAAATAGCAACAACAATCGTCCGTGACGCAATTTTCAACGGGCAATCGGCGTGGAATATTTGTTGACCGACTTCTCGATGGTTATTCACAAGGACAACCACCAGTCACTTCATTCCGGAGTTTCGAGATAGAACACATCCTCTCCTCCTTCTCCCTTCCTCCCTCTCTCTTTCTCTCCCCTTTCCCCCGCCTCTCTTTCTCTGTTCCCTTCGGAGAAATACCGGACGGACTACGGGATAGTTTGGCGAAAGGAACTCGCGGCAGAATAGCTGGCGACATCCGGTGCACTCGGAAGTTACACTATCGAACGCGACCTTCTCCAAAGAGATACGCCGACCTGGAGACTGCACAGGCGGTTCGTTAAAAACTTCACCCTCCCACGACCGCTCCCTGTACAAGGTTCCAAATCCGATCGGGCCCTCTCCAGCAAGTCCGGAGGATGGAACGTTTATTCAGCGGCTTAGGATTAAGTTAGCGATACCCACCCACCGTGACAGGATGTCGTCTTTCTCCCAGGCCGGGGACGCAATTCCTTCGAGGGAAGAAATCACATGCAGGATAACGTGGGTGAAACAACACTTTACTACACTTTACTACACGTGTTTGTGTGTATGTGTGTGATATATATGTACATACATACATACATATACAGGATAAAAAAAGTATTCCAACCTTTTCATGTATCCCCATAAAAAAATCCAGTGGATTTAAGTCAGGAGATCGAGGAGGCCACGCAACCGATCCAACCTGTCCAATCCATCTTTCCCCGAAAGGGAGACACGAGAAACAATTCTTGTAAATATCATCGTAATAATATGGTAAGATACTCGTCCGTTTACTGACCGCGCGTGATCAATGAAAGCACATAAATAACTTGCGTTACTGAAATCGAAAAGTGTTTATAATTTTGAAAGGGTTGATTTTTCGATTCATGTTTAATAGATATATATTATAGTAAAAGATATACCTTTTACTCAGTATAATGAGTACTATCTATCCTGTAAGTTTGTTTTTTTATTTATAAGAATTGTAAATTTGGAATTTTTTTAACACTTTATATACGTGTATATACACACATACACAGAGTGTCTTATTTTAAGTAGGGTGTGTTCGCGGAGCTCGCTACACTGAGAGAAAAATTATCTTAAAATCAACAAATATTTCCTTGGTGAGTGCCATTAACATATTTACTTAAATCTACATTCTCTTTACTTAAATCAAATATTGTTTATTTAAATCAAGTAAACAATATTTGATTTAAGTAAAGAAAATGTAGATTTAAGTAAATATGTTAATGGCACCCACCAAGGAAATATTTGTTGATATAATCAACAGTGTTATATAAAATTCTTCTCCACTTTCTGCATCGTGAAGAGTAATTTCTACATAACTGTTTGCTGTTTGTTGTTGTCATTATTATGCCATTTTTTACATGAAAAAAACTGCGTAAGATATTAAATATATAACGGTCTAACGTCATATAATAACTAGTGTTATTTTATTTGATTACTTCGGTTAATTTGGAATTAATCTGTTAACCATTTTATCTATTATCTGTAATCATGCATTGCATCTGTACATGTGTGTGTGTTCCTCACTTTAAAATAACTTTTCATTGACTTTAAATAAAATATGGATGTGTTGAAAAGTTTGCAATTATAATGTTTTTAATCATAATCATAGTGCTGTTTTTAATTTTAAAGTGTCTACTTTTTACCCTATAATTGCATTCATTTTCTTCTCTTTCTGCTTCACTCAAATGCTACAATTACTTGTAGATATGACTTTTGCAATAACTTTATTAAACGTTGCACGTCAAAAATGCACGAGCACTGTTGCATGTTTTAGTGAGAATCTTATTAATATTGTTTATGGTTACGGTCCTATTTATACATCAATTGTTTAATATGTATATAAAACAATATATTCCCAGAAAATTGGCTTGGTTATTAGGTCGCTTTCTCTTTAATTTCGGTTGCTAAGCAACTGTAACGCAGCGCGACTGTTGTTGGAGCTCACTATCGTTGTCGCGCTACTGACTTCGTGAACAGTCCTTGGTAACGTTTGCGTTGGTAGCGCGATAGTGAGCTTTGCGAACACACCCTTAGACACCGTAATATCTCGAGGTTATCGAAAAATGTATATTTTAGGTGTTCTATATTTTATGTTGAAAGGTACTGAGACAAAATGTAAACAATATATATATATATAGGGTATAGCAAAAATACCGGAACGGCAAGATAACTCGGCGGGGGAGCATTTTAGAGAAAAATATTTCCAATAAAAGTTGTAAGGCTTAAAAAGTCGCATTTAATGACAGTAGTTATTTGACCTAAGATGACGTCGCCAAGGTCAGGACAAGGTCAACTTTGCTTTTTTAAATAGAAATATATATATTTTTTTTTATTACGGCATTTTATTCTACGTGAAAAAGCAAACAACTTTTGCTTGAAAAAATTTTTTATACGACCTCTATTTTCTAAAATATTTACGTAAATATCT